TGTTATAATGCTGAAAGACTCCACAGAACTGAAAATATTTGTTCGTCTAGAGCCACCAGGTGATTAGAACACTTCATGGATAGTGCTATAGTACTACTATTTCAGATTGAGTTTTAAACGAAGTTTCTTGTTTTCTGAACATAACCTTATTGTACATTCAATCAACAAAGACATGAAAAAGCAAGAACACTAAACTAGCTTTGCTGTTGCAGGTTTAGCATTGCAAAATGAAATAAAACTGTAATATGAAAGAGTTAATACATTCATTTACTGTTAAGAATAACCCAACACTTTCCTGTAGTTGATAATGTTAACACATAAATAGTTCTAATTAGAACAATGTTTTCTTCTAATAAAAGGTAGATTCTTTATTAGAAGGACTAATATCATAAAGTACTGCAGTCTGCCAACTGTAAGTAGCAGCCAGGAGGTTACTGCAGTCTGCCAACTGTAAGTAGCAGTCAGGAGGGCTTTTTTCACTAACTCTGCTTTAATAAGCAGTATCTCAGAAAAAAACAAACCCACCAGTCTTTACACAGGACTTTTGCCATTTCAATGTCCAATTTCAAAGATTCATTAATTTTGTTGCTACGTGGTAAGAAGCTCGAGTACCTCCTAAATCCAAATCCCAGTGGGTCATTCAGGAACAGCCAGCTCATTCCTAACTTCTGCAGGCTGAGACTTCAGAATGTGAATAACACAGGCACTGCCCATGGCCTCCATGTATCTCTGGGCCAAAACATTGCTAACCATTAGGGCACATTTTCTCTGAAAACATAGATCTAATCCCCTTCAAGAAGGGACTGTTTTGAGAGTTGCATAATCCACTTGCCTTACAGGAGTCTCTCCAAGGAAGGGCACTCCTGTGCATCACTGGCATGACTCTTTACCCCCAGTACTGAACACCACATTAGATGCCTAAGCTGTACTAAGAGCAGCTGAATAGACCTAGCATTGTAGTGTTTGATGTAAAGATCTATTTTCCTGGCATTTTATTCCTTTAGTAAATGCTGACTCTCTAAACAACCATACAGCCTTTCAGTTAGCTTTCACTGAAAGGCAAAGGAGGAATTATATGTTAGAAAAATCTGACTTTAAATTCCCACACGAATACTGCTTTGAAAAAAACCCTGCAGCCCTTGAACAGAACATTCCACTGAAACTGTGTCACTTGTCACTGCAAGACCAAAATCACACAAGGCTTCTATGGTCAGTTTAGCTTTATATACTCCCCACGAGCTGCCTCAGTGCTGGATGATAAAGGGGGACAGTGCAACTGCAAAGCTGAATAAAGAAGCTGCAGCCACGATTCTGTTCTTGAAGAATGTGCATTAGGCAGAGTACCTGGAACTAAACTCTTTGTGTTCAGTGTGCTGCTGCCATGGCAACTGAAGTACAAGAAAAGCCATCAACTCTTGCTGTCACTGACTCACATTAGTACACAGGCTTCTCCATCACCCAGTACCGCAGATAGAATTCTTCGTGTTCCTCAATGCCAAGTACTGGTGATTAGGTAATACTTGGAGCAACCTAAATGCACTTTACTGAAATTCCCAAGTGTCTGAGAAGTACAAACTACCTTCTTACTCTTCAAGCTTACAGATTCCATCCCTCCCTTGTGGCTGTTAATGCCAGTGGAGTCACTTGTCAACTAATGGTTGTAACCAGGACTGAAGGCACAAGGATGTGAAGTAACATTCTGCTCTTCAGAACCAAGGAAGCTTTGTTTTCCCAGCACACAGGCTGGATTCATAGGTTCTGAGCATCTTCTGACATTAACCACTCCCAGTGCCAACAGCATTTTGCATTATAATGATATTGCAAGCACATTAAGGAACAACGTCTTGGCTGTCCTCTTAGAGAATGCTCCATGTTTCACTAGCCAGCTTGGTTCTCTCTTAAGTCTGTCCTGTGCATCAGTACCTTGTAGCAATGTCATCATTTTCACCACCACTGCCCCAGTATGTGTTTGGAAAGCCATTCATCTTCATATAATGTTCTGGAGTCAGAGCAGATACGCCCCCAAAGAAGGACTTGTACGGCAAACTAAAAGAGAAAAAAACAACCCACACCACATTAAAAACCACAGCATTGATATTGGAGGGTAATACCAGTCCTCTACAAACTAACAGTGTAATCCAAGTCACTGGTATATTAATCCTATCCCTTACAGACACTGTCATTACAATGCCAAAACCCAGAACAGTAAACCCAGTGTAATTCTCATCATGTTCTATTCCCCTCATTGTTCCCTGACACCTTCCCCCAGAGTAGGCCAAAGCAAAGCTGCCTTCAAAATTCACATCTTGGGTCTGTTTAAGATACCTGCATCCTACCACATCACCTTCCATGTGATCCAGCAACTCCCACCCTATACTTTTATTCTTGAAGGAAAGTCAGACAGAAACCTGCCAGTCATTTGCCAAGCTGAGCTAACAAGTGCAACAGGGAACTACAGGCAAGGAACTGTTCCAAATGGCATGCTTAGGTCAAGAATATCCTTTTCCAGGGAAGTTACTACTGCAAAACTAACACACAGAAAACCTCTTAAAGTTTGTATCTATCACTGTTCCCATCCAGACTTTCTATGCAAAAAGTGAACCAATTAGAATACATACACAGCAAGCAAATGGAGGCACTTACGTGTACTGAAACTTATCCATGGCACTAGCCATGTGCTTGGGATAGTACTCATCACAAATGTAGAGGTTATAATCATTCTCAGGTAGTAGGTCGACATCATGCAGGATAAGGCAGTCCCAGTCTTCATCCTTCAGGGCCTCCCGGACACCAACATTAAGCAGCTTTGCTCGGTTAAATGAACCTCTCCCCACCTGGAAAAGAAAACCTACATTTCTTCAACAAAACAACAAAGACAGTAAACTCACTTAAAATTTGTCTTGGTAAAAAAAAAAGTCTTATTCAATTGAATGAATCAATACTGCCTGCAAATTTCATGCTCCCAACTCTGAAAATGTCATCCACTCTCTACACAGCACTCTGATTAATTGTAAGCTTTCCTGTGTCAGGGGCTGTACACTGTAGGCACCTGAACAAGGCTGACTTTTAAGAGATTGATAAGCCAATCCTGAAGTGTACATCTGCACATCAACACTTTTGCCTTGACTACTGTTTATTAAAGCTTAGAAAGGAGAAAAAAAGATCTTGGTCAAACAAAAAAGCTTCTACCTCCCAATCAACTATTGATTTTAATTAATGAATCCCAAACTTGCTCTCTCATCACTGGTCTTTTGCAACACCAGTCCACGTCAGTTACAAATGGCAGTTTGACCTGCACAGGCTGCCCCAGAGCAGGGTCAAGCCAGATGTCTGTATTCCATACAGACTAAAAATATCTAACTTCACTTCAGCATTTAGTCTCTAGGTTTTGCCCAGCAGCCACACTGACAAGCTACAGACAAGCCACATTCAACTCTCAAACAGATAAAAATACAAGTTACCACTTAATGACAACTTTATCCCTCTAGGGGAAAAAACCCAAACCCAACAGAATATCTCAAACACCGGCAGCCATGGAGCTGGGACAGCATGTAACTAACCTCTCTGCCCATGCATAAACCAATATTTCTACATTAGAAGAGTTGCATTTCATAGAATCACAGGCAGGTTTGGGTTGGAAGGGACCTCAAAGATCATCTAATTCCAACCCCCCTGCCACTGGGATAAGCAGAGATCTTCAACCAGACCAGGTTGCTTAGTGCCATGTCCAACCTGATCTCAAATGTTCCCAGGGATGAGGCATCCACAACGTCTCTGAGCAACCTGTTCCAGTGCCTCACCACCCCCACAGTAAATTTTTCCTAACATCTAATCTATGCCTGCTCTCTTTCAGTCTGGAGCCATTCCTCCTTGTCCTGTCACTATACACTCTGGCAAGAAGTCCCTCTCCATCTTTCTTGTAGGCTCCTTTCAGGTACTGGAAAGCCACAATTAGGTCACCTCAAAGCCTTCACTTCTCCAGGATGAACAATTCCAATTCTCTTAGCCTTTCCTTATAGGAGAGGTGCTCCATCCCTCTAATCAATTTGGGCTCACTCCAAGAGGTGCAAATCCTTCCTGTGCTGAGGACCCCAGAGCTGGATACAGCACTCCAGGTGGGATCTCACCAGAGCAGAGCAGAAGGACAGAATCACCTCCCTCGACCTGCTGCCCACACTGCTTTTGAAGCAGCCCAGGGTACAGCTGACTTTGTGGCTGTGAGCACACATTGCTGGCTCATGTCCAGCCTCTCATCCACCAGCAGCCCCAAGTCCTTCTCAGCAGGGTTGCTCTTCATCTCTTGATCTCCCAGCCTCAATTGATATCAGGGGTTGTCCTGACCCAGGTGCATTTCTTGTTCAGAACCTAACCCTTGACTGGGAAGCTCAGCTACACTACCAGGCACATTTGATTTAGATTTACCTGCTGAATCAAATAGATAGTGTAACTGAGCTGCTGGCGCTGCAGGAAAGGATGAAGATAGTAGAGAAGATGGTGAAGGTACTTCTCCTGGTTCCTGTAGGCTACAAGGATGGCAGATTTGTAGCGGGCAAAGCAGTGAGGTGGCCTGTAGTGGCCACCAACCTGAACAAAAGGATTTTTTCTGATGATCATCCTTTCACTTGGGAGCACTCTGAAGGTGATGGCTAAAGGACCAACTGTAAGGAAACACAGAAAAAAAAGAAAATAAAAAAGGAAGATCAGTGAGTTTCATTCAGACCTATCAGATTAGTTATGTATCTTTACTACTTAAGCCAAGCCCTACCACAGAACAGTTACCAGTGCCCACCCAGATGTGCCTACACAATGAATTTCACCACTCCTGCTGGTCACTTCCCCATGGCTCCAAATGGATGGGTGCCAGGCTCAGTACCAGGGTGCCATGCTACCTGCCAGAGGCATCCTGAGTCCTGGCACAGCCAGCAAGTCTCACTGGGCTCCTGCACAGCTTGCTTTTCGTGGTTTAACCCCAACCAGCAGCCAAGAACCACGCAGCTGCTCACACACTGCCCCACCAAAGGGATAGGGTAGAGAATCAGAAGGGTAAAAACTAGAAAAGCTCATGGGTTGAGATAAAGACAGTTTAATAGAGAAAGCAAAAGCTGCACACACAAGCAAAGCAAAACAAGGAATTCATTCACTGCTTCCCACAGACAGGAGGTGTTCAGCCATCTCCAGGAGAGCAGGGCCCATCACACGTAACGGTTCCTTGGGAAGACAAACACCATCACTCCAGATGTCCCCCCTTCCTCCTTCTTCCTCCCACCTCATATACTGAGCATGATGTCATATGGTGTGGAATATCCCTTTGGTCAGTTTGGGTCACCTGTCCCAGCTGTGTCTCCTCCCAGTCTCCCATGCATCCCCAACTTCCTTGCCAGTGTGGCAGTATGGAAAGCAGCAAAGGCCTTGACTCTGCGTAAGCTCTGCTCAGCAATAACAAAAATATCTCTGCATTATCAACTCTGTGTTCTGCACAAAACCCAAACATAGCCTCATACTAGCCACTGTGAAGAAAGTTAACTCTACTTCAGCTCAAACCACCACACCTGGTATTGGCTCCCTACTACAGTCTTGTATTGCTTAGATGAGATCTTTTAATAAGTGTATTCACTGCAAAAACAGCGTTGAAAATTAATCAAGATGGACACATCTGCTTTTGCTACCCATTTGGAAAATTTCTCTAAGCTTCTTTCAAGATTCAAAGGACAAAGATGTCCAAATGGATACTCAGCCTGGATGAATACAAATACTTTAGGAAATGTTAGCTTTATCTGGAAAAAAGTTTCAAGTTCAAGTTGACGTTGTAATCACATGCCACAAGGGCTGTATTTGACATACCAGTTAATTTTATACACTGTGATAAGTAGGCAGTACTTCAAAACGTTGGGAGAAGCAGATGACAGAGCTGAGAAAGAAGAAAGGTGTTATATTTCCAGGAACAGGCACAGGGTAGCAAAAGAAACTACATATGATTGCTCCCCTACTCAGCACCTTGATTTTAAATACAGAAGATACTGGATATGCTCAACAGTTTTTACCTAATTGAAAAAAATAATTAGTATTTTTACACAAACTCTTCCATTCTTCAAATGGGTACAAGCTCGACAAATCACAAGTAAAAATAATCAGTGTCAATTACCATATTAACACAAATCTCATTGTTAGATTATTAATAAACAACTTCTACAATTATGTAACTGCCTGTCCTCCTGGACAGTAAGAAAAGTTTCCAGAACTAGCAGAAGAGTTATATTTATACACAAATCAGTGTGTCTTCATGGTTTCCAACAATGGTCAGATTCACAGAAAATAAAGCACAAACGCAGAACAAGATTAAAATCTAATACTTAAATGAACTAGGGAAAAACTTTCACATAAGTCATAATTAGGAGCTGACAATTTCAAATGACAGTCCTATTCCACAGTTCTCTGAGGCCATGCTCCCAAAGGCAAAATATTTTTTTGCACAAGGAGTCTGTCAGGCAAGTTTTTGGTTGTTGGTTGTTGTATTAATAGTTATAAACAGGATTTCTTTTCCTTCCAAGCTCATAGTTAATGCCATGGCTGTCCTAGGGCAACCTTTCAGTGTCTTGCAAGTAATACTCCCTCTTCAACCACAGAAATAAACTATTCTCTCAAAACACTTCTGATAATGAAGCCTAATAGAGAGCAAATATTCAGGCCTTGGGCAGGGAAAGGTACAGGTGTGTTTGAAATCTAATTAAGAAGGTGAGTCCAGTTGATACTTCTTCCAGCCCATCCTACATTCAAGTCTCTGCTTCAATTCTAACCAAAAAACCAAAAAAAGCAAATTGAGCCTGAACTCACCCACATCCTGTTTAACTGCCACAGAAGGAAGCAACATCGCTCCACTGGTTTTGGGCATTTGGGTTTTTGTTTGCTTGGTTTTGTTTGTTGAGGGGAATTTTTTTGATCAGTAACAAGGCTTAGGGACTAAATTCAGCGTAAGATTCAAGGTGTCCATTCAGAACTGGAAAACATTTTGTTACTATGTGGAAGTTGGTATACATCACATTTCTGATAGGCAAACCTCTACTCCATATGTCTGTTTCTTCCTCAAGGAACACACAAATGGCATTTTCTGAAGGTCAGTCTGAAGAGCCACTGACCCCATTCCTCATGCTGTCAAAAACTCACTGTGAATCCCACTTCACGGCTGTTGTTGGTTGGCTTCTGTTTCTTTCTTTTGAAAAGAATGCCTAAATTTTGCTTGTCAGGAAGATCCTGCAGTAGCTAAGCATCCCTTTTCAGTCCCTCCCCAAGTATCTAAAATGCAGG